TGTTATTGTGAACTTCGTTGTCCTTTTCTAGGATATTGTTTAAAATTCCTTGCAGTGCTGGTTGGTGTTCATGAAATTTCTCAGGTGCTCTTTGTCATGGAAGTATCTCATTTCCCCATCTATTTTGAAAGAGAGTTTTGCAGGATACGTCAGTCTAGGTTGGAGGTTCTTTTCTTTTAGGACTTGGAATACCTCACTCCAGGCTCTCCTTGACCTAAGGGTTTGTGTTGAAAAGTCTGCTGTTATTCTAATGGGCTTTCCTTTGCATGTGATTTGTTTCTTTTCTCTTACTGCTTGTAGTATTTTGTTTTTCTGTTGGATTTCTGGAATCTTATTATATGTCTAGGTGTAGATTTTTTTTTTTTGATTGTGGCTAGTTGGGGTTCTATATGCCTCACTTATCTGTATGTCTAATTCTTCCCTTCTGTTTGGGAAGTTTTCTGTCATTAATTCTGTGAAGAGCTTTTTTATATCATTTGTGTTTTCTCCTGTTTTTTCATGAATTCCTATCAGTCTTATGTTATTTTTCTTTGTATCGTCTAGGAGTTGTTGGATTGATTTCTCATGATCCCTTACTGTTTTTAATAGACCTCTTTTTTCACGGTCACTGACTGCTATCCTATCTTCTATATCTGAAATTCTATCTTCGCAATCTTTTATTCTGTTGCGTACACTTTCAATAGAGTTTTTAATCTCCTGGATATCTGTTTGAATCTGTTTTATGGATTCCATTTCTTTCCTCTGTTGGGCATTCATTGTTTCCATTTCTTTCTTATGCTGAGTCTTCATGGCTTCTATCATAGTCTTGAGCTCATCTATTTTTTTGTCAGTTTCTGCTCTAGAGTCTCGAATCATGACTTCCATTTTGCTCATCATCTCTCTGGTTAACTGGGAAATTATTTCTGATTTGAATTTTTCTAGAGCCTGATTGATCTGTTTTGTTACCTCCTGTGCTATGGGTCCAGGGTGTCCTGTTGATTCACTATCAGACTTTTCATCCTCATTTGTCCTACTATTTGCCATTGGTGAACTGGAAATCTGTTTTTGTGTCTTGCTTAAGTGTTTTCTCATTTTTATTTTTATTGTTGTGTTGTCCTTCATTAATTTCTGGGTATTACTTAAATCTTCCTAAATATAGTTGCGTTTTAGCTTTTGAGTTTCTAATTACTCATAGACATCCTCATTTTCATAATATCAGAGAAAACAACTCTTTAAATCAATCACAACCCTTTATCCCAATTGATACATTCAGCAGCCCAATAGGATCAGGCACAGCTTGCAAACTGACCACTTGTGGTAGTCATTAATGTATCACCTTTAACTCATGTGAATTAAATTAATTTCAAGAAGCAGCCCATAATATGTTTGCAGTGAATATGCTTTTCAATATAGCATCTTTACCATTTAGGATGGGGGGGTTAGACTTAGAACAAGAGGATTAGATAAGTGAAAGAATTATAGCAGGTTTGAAGTGAATCCAGAGGTTGTAGAATTACCTTACTATCTTTACAAAGCTATTAACTTCAGCAGGGATAGAGAGAGTGCAGGAATAAGGACAAGAATATATCCCCTTAACAATAACAGGCGCTTGCCTTCCCTTGAAGGTACAGAGCCATGAGTGAGGTAAAATGACTGGAGAAAAGAACATAAAGAGAAACTCCTCCTAAAAACAAAAAATAATAAAAGAAGAAGTCTGAGTTAGGGCAGAAGCCAGAATAAAAAGGGAGATGAGGGATAATATGGTGGAGCAAGAGACTGAGTTGGAGAGAGAGGACAGAAAAAAGAAATTTTAGGGTGGAATGAGGAAAAGAAAAAAAGAGAGAGAGAAAAAAAAAGAATTTGAAGGGCATCTTTCAGACTGTCTCTGTTCTCGTATTATACCACATGTACAGCCATATGCAGAACTGAATCCCCTGGTCTCAGCTAGCCAATGGCAGTTCCCCACGACTGAGACTGAACACAGTCCACAAGGCCTAACTTGAGTTTCCCTACCCTCAGGGTTGAACTCCACTCAGTTCTATTACAGGTTTCCCCGGCCCTTTCTTTAAAGATGCTCACAGTTGGGAGCTCAGAAAACTACCCTTCATGAGAACCTATGCCTGTGCACAGTTGGTCTAAGTAAGGACTGGCCCAATCAGGAGGTTTGAGAACCGGGCGGGGGGGTCGTGGGGGTGTTTCAAGGGCGCGGCTACCTTCCTTACTGGGTCTATTGTTGCGCAGTCCGGGAGGTCGCGCACCCGCCGGATGATCTCAGGCAGGCAGGCAGCTAAAGAGACCCCCTCCGGGGTCTTTGGGCCCTTGCTGGGTCTGTTGTCGCGCAGTTCGGGAGGTCGCGCACCCGCCGGGTGATCTCAGGCTAGCAGGCAGCTCCTGCTTTTTAATTTTATACCAGCTATGGGCTTTTTTGGGGACCAGCACTGTCAGTCTATCAGTTATTTTTTTTAAATAATTTATTTTTGTCAGTACATGTTTGCAGTATATGAAGTTAACAGTTAACCTTGGAAAGTGGATACATGTACATAGTGCGGCTTGGTCTGTTTTTTAAAGTTCCCTTACCCTTTTCCTTCTCTGCTGCCGCTCTTCTAGCTCCTCTTAAATCTCCTTTCCCCATTTTCATGTATGTGGATATTATTAATCTTATCTCATGTTTGAGATCTGTAACATTTGTTTACAGTTATTGAGATTATTAGGTTCCTGTACATGGCATATCTTTATTCGACTTATTTCCCCTCTTTTCCTCTCCTTTTGTGTTCTCTTGAACCCCTTCCCATTTGCAAGAGATCATCTTCGTGTCTCCTATGCATTCTTTATTTTGCTCTGTGTTTGTAGTTTGTCTTACTCAAATAAGAGATAATATTTGGTATTTAACCTTATGTGTGAGGTTTATTTCATTCAACATTGTATTTTCCAGCATGTCCAGATTTTTTTCTTCTTTTTACAAATGGCTCAGTCAACTAGTATTTTATCATGTCTGGATACCACATTTTCTTTATCCACTCTTCTGCTGCTCCCAGGATTTAGCTGTTATGGATTGTGCTGCTGTAAATGTTGGTGCACATGTCGCTGTAGTATGATGTCTTTAGCACTTTGAGAAAGACCTCAAGAATGGGGGGAGTAGCTGAGTCAAGTCACATGGAATTTCTAATTTTAGTTATAGGAGGAATTTCCATAATGGTTGTACTAGTTTACATTCCCACCAACACCATAGGAGGATTTCTTTTTCACTGCAGCCACATCAGCATTTATTTTTTGATTTTTTTTTTTGTTGATTGCCAGTCATTCTGTTTTAAAATGGATTCTTAGTGTTAATTTGCATTTCTTATCTGGCCAGTGATTTTTAAAATTTTGTTGTCTATTTGTTAGCCCATGTATAATTTTTCTTGAGGTAGCCTACTCTTCTCGGTTTACCGCTTCTCTGAGGCATTGGCCTTGTCCTGGATCAGGTTGGTTGGCCGGTAGTCACCTCAGTAGCCCTGTGCCAAGGCCAACACGCCCACCCGAGGCAGTTGGACAGGCTCCTCGGAAGGTGCCGCGGGGTGTGGAGGGGCAGGAGGGCAGGAAGGCCCTAGCCTTCTGTAGGTACTGCAGCGATTTGAGAAGCATAAAGATTTCAATAAAAGCAAAAATATTAGGACACTTGTCCAGAAGTTCTGATTGAGCAAATCCCTAAGAAGAAAAAACAAAAACACAAAATATGAAAAAGAAAGTATGTGATATGGAGGATAGAAGTAGTAGTGTTAAAATCCATGAAAGAAGTCTTAAAAAAAAATCAAGAGAAGGACAGATTGAGCAAATAATAGATACATATTTACTGGAATTAAAAAGACTCCTAATTCTAAGACCCTATATAGTATCGAAGAAAAGAGAAGGGAAACCCCTAGTCTAGACAGTGAAATTTAAGAACATCAAAGACAAACTTGAAAATCTCCAGGGAAGAACGTGTGCAAAGATATAAAAACTGGATTAACACCAGATTTTTAGCAGCCCGTTTCATGCACGACAGTAGTAGAGTAGTATTTTTATAGAGTATGGAAGGGAAAAAGCTTAAAATTTTATCTTCAGCCAAACTGAAGTGAGAGTATATAATTACCATGAGTTATTTATAAAAGGTTCTAGAAGGGTGTCCTGTACAAAGGCCTGCAAAGAGAAGAAACCACGTTGTGAGAGACAAAGCTGACTACTGTGGTAGAATTTTTTTAAAGTTCAGTGTAAGTGAGCGTGTCAGTAACAACTTATGGTAGGCAATATCCACATGTCAACAGGACTGGTAGGCCACAGCATGCACGCTAAAGTCTTATCCTGAGGGCACTGGTAGAGGTATGAGTGATTTTTAGAAGGAAGAAATTGCTTTAAAAGGAATAGAAAAAGGTCTCACACATATAAACAGATTTGAGGATATCAGTATTTAATGCATATGGGCTGAATGTTTCAGTTGAATAAAGTTCAGATTAGACTATAAAAGGAAAAACATCCAGATTCTGTTTCTAGGAGACACAGCTAAAACCTAAGGGCACAAAAAACTTGAGTAGAAAAAGAACAGGCAAATACTAATCTAAAAAAGCTGGTGAAACAATATTTAAAAATTTGGATAAGGTTGAGTAACAGTGGATAGAATAACTTCAAAGTAGATGTTGCAATTATCGGTAGAATTAAAACATGTAAATATGTGTTTCTAAAAATAACCATTTTCACACCTGAAATAATTCTCTAATACCATGTTTCCTGTCAGTGTTTAAGTGATTGGATATAATTGTTTCTCTTGTGGCTTATTATGGCTAATTCAAATCAGGATCAAGTAAAATACATTCTGTTAGTATCTCAGATGTCTTAACATCTATAGACAATCCTATTTTATATCTGTATCATTGCTGTATGTAGTTCGTTGAAACTACTATGTTATGCATTCAGGTTCGGCGTTGGGCTATCCTGACTGCAAGAAACCTTGGAAAAGTGGACAGAGATGATTATTATGACTTACAGGAAGTTTTAACTTGCCTTTTTAAAGTCATTGAGTTGGGCCTTTTAGAAAGCCCAGACATTTATACTTCTTCAGTCCTCGAAAAGGGTAAACTGATTCTCCTGCCGACGCATATGTATGATACTACCAACTACAAAAACTATTGGTTAGGTGAGTATGTTCCTACATTTCTATAATTAGTGTCATCCTGGGTGTCCCGTTCTATGAGTGTCTTTGAACTGAAAGTAATCTCTGGGTGACCTGTTCCAAACTGCCAAATACAGGATTTCACCGTCTCCAGTTCACGATCCTGTCATTACATTAACTTACTGTTAAACATTTATTCTGGAAACCTGTAGACTTACGATCAGTCATTGTCTAGTGAATCTTTTGTTTAAAAGCAACATCAGAATGACAAAGTATCAGTATAGTAGCTGACTTAGGGTTTGGACATTAATGCTTCTATAAGCGACCTTAGCACTGTTTATAGTGTTACAGGTAGGCGAGTTGGAACTAAATGGAGTCCTTTATTATAATAGCCAGTGTTCCAGAGTGAGCTCAGGCCTCCACAAATTGTGGACGAAGGAGAGGCAGTTTGCAGGGGGGAGGGCTCACAAGCAGGAATTTCACAGGAGCAGAACTTTGCTGAGCTAGGGGTGGGGGAAGTTTCTTGCAATTTAGTTAAAACACAGTATCATAACACAGGTGCTGGAGTCTTCTGTTCACAAGATAGTAAAGAAACATAGTTGCAAACTCTAGCACAAGGGGCAGCCCTCAAGGTCAGGTTGGCTATCACAGTAGGCTCTATACTGACTCTAAATAGTTGTACCCAGCTACCAATTCCCAGTCTGTAGGTCACCCGTTGTAAGAGGTCGTAGGTTTTTTTCCTTTTTCAGTAGCTTATGAAATATAGTACATCTAAAAATTGAAGGCATCTTAGTTGATGAAATACAAGTTTGAGATAGTCATCTTAGAAATTTTCTAAATTGGTACCATTTTCCCCTTTTACACTCAAAATACTCTAAAATTGTATTACTTGAGAACAGTTGTGCATGAATATATAAGACTTTAATGTTTGAGGAGTTGGGTTCTGTTTTCCTTCATCATCCAGCTCTGTGCCCCCCCCAATCCCTGGCCAGTCAGAAAAGGAATTAGAATAATGTTATTTCATCAGTTCAAGAAAACCATGAATAATCTTACAGGTATTTGCATGTTGCTGACAATTCTTGAGGAGCAAGCCATGGATTCACTGTTGCTGGGCTCAGACAAACAAAATGATTTCATGCAGTCCATCCTTCACACCATGGAGAGGCAGTCGGATGGTAATTCACTTTACTTGCTTTACAGTTTGAAAATGCTTAGTGTCATTGTAAGAATTGAAGTGGAATATAACGTGAAGAAGAGAAGAATTAATGTTTTGGGGTTTTTTTTGAGACAAGGTCTCTCAGTGCAGTTCAGGCTGGCCTTGAACTCACTGTGGAGCCCAGGCTGGCCTCAAATTGGCAGCAATCCTCCTGCCTCAGCTGGACAGTGCTGGGATCACAGGCGTGAGTCACCACACCCGGCAAGAATACACTTTCTCATGGCTTAGATTCTAGAATTCACTCAAATTGGAAAGAACCTTTCATGTTTAATATTTCACGTGCTCCTGGGGCTGCAATATTAGACAGTGCAGATAGAGAACATTTTCATCATCACAAATAAATTCCCTGAACAGTGCTGCTTGTAGGTAGCCTAGAAAATGAGGCCTAAAAGAAAAGAAAAGAAAAGAAAATGAGGCCTAAAAGTTGTAGTCATATTTCTTACTAGATCCTGATCTTACTTTTGCTGATCATTGTGTCAAACTAATCCTGGAGGATCTAAACTTACAAGTAAGTGTTTCCAATCTCTGTGAAGAAAGGGCTCAGCGAAGGCTAAGCATGCTGGATTCAATGAAAACATAATGAATGTATTTCATGCCTTCTCTTAGTTCCCTTTAAGCAACTTGACTGAATATAAACTTATTTGTGGGCAAGTCTAAAAGAAATATGCTATTCTGTGTTTGATGGCATATATTTTCTTGCTAGATTATTGCTGATTAAGGTTATTCCTAATTCATTTGCAAACATTTACTGGGTGAATTATTTCTTGTCCTGTGCCTAACTGCATGTATCATTCTGCCCCTTCTATTCATTCAGCTCAGCTAGATTTTTCAAAATGTGAGTCATCTCTTTAAAAAAACCAGTTAACTACTTGAGAGCTTACTAAACATAAGGCGCACCTAAAGGATATCATAAAGGATGTAAAAACATGCAACAGATATTATAAAAAGCAGATTTTTAAGAGGTCTAAAGGAAGTAAAGCTGCAGGTTCTAGAGTGATTAAATGTTACCAGTAATGGAGTGAGTTAGAGCACTTGCCTCAGAGGAATAGTGTAGGAAGTTCAATGGCTGGGGAATATTTAATGCAGAAAGAGGCATTTACACTGGACTTCTAAGGATGGATAGAATATCGATAGTTGATGCTAACAGTGAAGGCATTTTTGTGCTTACTGTGAAAAAGACTGATTTGTTTTTGCTATCGAGTGTGATTATGGAAGTAAAAAATAAAGCTGGAAAGAAATGGGAAGGTTTTTTTTTTTTCTTTTTGTTTTTTTTTGGTACCAGGGATCAAACTCAGGCCCTTGTGCTTGCAAGACAGGTGGCGAAACCACTGAGCCAAATCCCCAGCCAGGAAGATCGATCAATTGATCTTTCTTTCTTTCTTTCTCCTACTAAGTTTATTGGTACTTTTTAAGTATACAGCACAGTTACATTCATCACTGGGATCTTGTACCTTTACGGGACATCTTGGTTCTCATTTTTCCCCACACCCCTGCCCTGCTTCCACCCCCTCCATCCTCCCCCTATTCACAAAGACTTTGTTTCCATGTTTCCTTTGCTCATATTTTTTCTCGTCCCTTATTTCCTTTCCCCTACCCTTCCCACTTGCCCTACACCTTTAGCCCTTTTCTCAGGAAGATCTTTATAAGTTCTTGACTAATAACATGAATTTTCTTGGAGACATTAAGAAGCCATTGAAGGTCTTTGAGTAGGGCAGTATTTTCCAACTGCATATCTGGTAGAGAAGAGGGAGAGGGCTGCAGGTAAGAGCTAATGAATTCCTACAAAGTTAGATGAAAGGTAGGTAATGGCAATACCATGTTGAGAAATGGGTGGATGAGACTGTGTGTCTTTGCTTGCTCATTTATTAGCTAAGGGATTTGGCCCGTAACACTCACTAGCTATAAGCATACAAAAGTCCAAATCATCCTGAAGCGGATTTCTTTGTATCATAGGCCTCATTTATATCTGTAAATTCTAAGTTTAGTTTTTCCCTTTCCATTTATTTATTTACTTATTTAGGTACCAGGGATCAAACACAGGACCTTGCCCTTGTGAGGCAGGCACAGTGCCAGTGAGCTAAATCCCTGGCCCATTTTTCTATTTATTCAAGAATGAGAGTATAAAGTTTCAGAATAGATTGAGGAGCTTATTAGGAAAAATTTTTTCAGATATGGCAAACAAGATGTGAAAGTTATTTTTACCTAGACTGTTTTGGTGCCTGTTAAAACAATTTGTTCTTCATTTTGGATTTTTTTACAGAGAAGTCTAAGTATTACTTGGAAATTCTGAGAATTTGCCAGCTTTTGAAACTGTGTTGCCAGGCATGGTAGCATATACCTGTAATCCCAACACTCTGGGAGGATGAGGCAGGAGGATTGCACATTCAGGTCTGGCTTGGGCAATTTAGTGAGACTTGTCTTAAAATAAATTGGGCCTGGGGTTGTAGCTCAGTGAGAGGGCACTCATGGATTTGATTCCCAGTACCATGAAACAAAACAAAACAAGTATTGGCCTCACTTTAAATTACTTCTGCTTTGTTTTTAGTTTTGTCACTAACCAGGTAAAGAATGCTTAATTCTAAATATATTTAACTGTTGTGAAAATTGTTTTGTAATCCAGCAATTATTAAATTGTATTTCAGATGATAACGTGAATCCTTTTTGGCCAGCATTACATTGTTTTATGGTAATTCTGGATCGCCTTGGATCTAAGGTCTGGGGTCAGCTTATTGACCCCATTGAGGCATTTCAGACCATTATCAACAATGTGAGCTATAATAAAGAAATCCAGAATATACGGGACAGCTCTGTAAGGTTAGTTATGATAATGTCAGAATTAAAAATTAATCTTTGCAAGCAAGTCTGTTGAAACTGTCTCAATAAGGGGGCTTTTTTCTATTTTCTTTTTCCCCTTCATTTCAATAAATTGTACTTATTCTTAATGTTTAAGGACCAAGTTAGAACCAGAGCGATCTTTGGATGATATGGTGACTTGCAGCCAGATTGTATATAATTATAATCCTGAAAAGACAAAAAAGGTAAAAAAGCTCTTTGAAAATTCAGGTGATAATTGTGTGGATGGTTTTTCATAATTAGCTAACTCTGACGTGTAACTGTTCTGAATTGACTGCTGCATAAAGGCTTTTTCATTGAGCAGATGTATTGGGGAAAATGAATTCTAGCTACAGTGTGTATGCTTTGGGACATTTTCAAGTGTATTTCAGGAAAGTGGAAGTTCGGTAGGGTTGGGGCGAGACTGGCATGACGAATGGACAAGACTAGCTAATGAGAAGAGGGCCAGCGCCCAGGAGACCGGTATGAATCTGCCGTTTGATGAGACTCTGACGTCAACATTCAGCTTATAGTTTGGATTTCCTGGGGGTTTATGTATGTTAGAAATAACACATATAAACAAAGATAGGAAAGTTGAGGGATGTATTTTCTTTTATACAATTTTAGTGTTAATCTTGTCACAGCACTTACATGATTTTTTTTTCCATTTTAGGATTCGGGGTGGAGATCGGCCATTTGCCCAGATTATTGTCCTAACATGTATGAAGAAATGGAAACGTTAGCCAGTGTCCTTCAGTCAGATATCGGGCAGGACATGCGTGTTCATAACAGCACGTTCCTGTGGTTCATACCTTTTGTTCAGTCGCTGATGGACCTTAAGGATTTGGGCGTGGCTTACATCGTAGAGGTCATTCATCATCTCCACTCTCAAGTCAAAGATGTCCTCAACCAGACAAATGCTGTGTGTGACAAAGTCACAGAATTTTTTCTTCTGATTTTGGTGTCGGTGGTTGAACTGCATAGAAATAAAAAATGCTTGCATCTGCTGTGGGTTAGCTCCCAGCAGTGGGTAGCAGCCGTGGTGAAATGTGCCAAGCTTCCTACTAGTGCGTTTGTGCGGAGCTCTGAGAAGTCAGCTGGAAGTTGTTCCAAAGGAGCAGCAATGATAGCATCGCTGTCACTGCACGCAGTGCCGTCCAACTCTGTACAGCTTGCTTGTGTGCAGCTGATCAGGAGTCTCCTTAAAGAAGGTTATCAGCTTGGCCAGCAGACTCTCTGCAAGCGATTCTGGGATAAGCTTAACCTGTTCCTTCGAGGAAATTTATCTCTGGGTTGGCAGTTGACTAATCAGGAAACCTGTGAGTTGCAAACTTGTTTAAAACAAATTATTAGGAACAAATCATTAGAAAAATTAAAAGTACCTCCGAGTTACCCTCTTGTGGATCTGACTCCCACATGTAAAACCCCACCTGCATCTTTTAAAGAAGAAAGTGAACAAAAGAGGAAGAAGTCTAAAACAGACATCCACTGTCTGGAGAATTCCAGCCCGACATTTTCTAAAGAACCAGTGAAAACTGACATATCTCAAGTAAAAGAGCATAGATTGATTAAAGCAATAGAAGAGGGGGATAGTGAGCAAAAATATGTAAAGGATTTGAACACTGAAGACCATCTCTCTGCTGAGTCGTGGTTAAAGCTGAGTGGTAAAAGTCACTTTAATGAAAGAGCTCAGGACCAAACTAAAGCAAGTAAAAGGAGGAAGATGTCTGTGAAAGAGAACTCTTTATGTACACCACAGATTTGTACTTCACGGAATGGTCCAGGAGGAGGATGTGACAGAGGAATAATAATACCAACCCATTCGTTGACTTCTGGCACTGATTCTTCAGAACATGTATCCGTATCAAATGAGGATTTCTCCTTAAAGGATGATGCTCTTGGTAAGACTTCAAAACCAAAAACTAAGGCAGAGAAAGATAAAATCTGTGCAAAGTTATCACATGTCATAAAGAAGCAACACAGGAAAAGTACCGTGGTCAGTAATGCTGTCAGTGTAGAGGAAAATCTGGCGGTAGGTAACTTGGAGAGTTTTTGTTCAGAGAAAGATAAAAGTATGCAGAAAGCGGGTGGAGCCACATGCAGTCTGTCTTTAGACTCTGATGGCATTCTGCTTGATGAAAATGGAGAAGAAAAATCACAAAAGAGTTTATTGCTGAAAAAGAAGCAATTAAAGAACGAAGAATTGGATACTTTTTCTTATCACGAAAACAATTATCAAATACAGAAATGTCATGTTGATAAAGATTTGGTCTTCTCGCCAGAAATGACTGATATTTTGGTAAAGATGCTTCCCTCTAAGGAGCCTGTGATCACACTTGAATCAAGAGATAAGGAAAGGACTAAGAGTGCAGCTCTGATATCCTCTAACTCACAAAAAGAACCATCTCCCAGCATCAGTCCGAGGTCTGACACCTTAACGGATTCTCAGGTAGACAGAGACCTCCACAAATTATCTTTAATAGCTCAAGCCAGTGTTATCAAATTTCCATCAGATTTTACTCAAAACTCACTTCAGCTGCAAAGTAAAGTAAAAGATGATAAAAGCTGTTTCACAGCTCAAAATAATGTGGACAGCTGCTGTGGACAAGTTATTGTTATTTCAGATTCTGATGATGAAGATGAAATTCTGGGTTTTGAGAAACACATTGAAAAGGACAAACTATGCCTTGAAAAAGAATGTCCAGAGCAGCATGATTCAGTAAATACTAATGCAGACAAAGAGCTTATAAAAGAAGAAAAAGCATTTTTTGTGTGTGAGGATTCTGATTCTCAGGTTTTTGAGTTTGAAAGTCAATCTCAAGTGTTTTCAGTTTGGCAGGATCAAAAAGTAGACAATGGGAATTCAGTTCAAGAGGAGGAAAAAATTTCCTGTGTGACTCACATAGCTGATAGCACAAATAATTGGGGTAACGGTACGGACTATGCATCTGAAGAGGCTGTTCAAGAAGTAGCAAAGGACCCCGAAGAACATGGAGAACCACACAGCAGCGTTTCTGTTAAGGGATTTTGTAAAACTAAAGTAAAAAACCGTAAGAGAAAGCCATTTGAAAAACCCGTAACTGAAGCTCCTCCAAATCTTTCATCTTCTGTCAGAAACAAGAACCAATCTGACATTCTCAACAAGAAGGATCTTACTGAAACTGATTTGAAAAGTACCGAGATAAGTACCACAACTCCCAGTTCAACTGTTGAGAAAGCCACCACCGTTCAACCCAAGAAGTCTCCTGCAAAGGCTCGTACTTACTCAAAACCCTCTAGGAAAGGACCAGTTTCTAAAACTCTTAAGAAAACACATTCAGATGCCAAAAAAGGGCAAAGTAAAAGTTCGCATTACCTAAGTTGTAGAACGGCTCCTGCTGTAGTGCCACCAAAGAAAATCCGCCAGTGTCCTGAACCAACTTCAACAGTTGAGAAACTTGGTCTGAAGAAAACTCCTCGGAGGGCATTTGACTTGTCCCAGAGAACTTTAGACTCCATAGGTCAGTTACGGGATCATGGCAAAACTGTCGGAGCAGTCAGTGCTCCAAAAAAGGCTAAGTTAATTTCTCCCCAGACACTCTCTGTCAAAAATAATAAGAAACTGCTGACGAGTCAGGATCTTCAACAGCAAAGGCAGATGAGACAGAAATCACACACAAAAAGAAAAGAACCACGTAGTTGTGAAGGTCCAGATGCTTCAAGGCCAGAGCCAGGTAGAACACAGAATTCTGACAGAGCTGTACCAGAATCTGACAGGTTAGATTATAATTCTAAAAAACCTGAGGTACTTGCTAACAGTAATGAAAAACAATTAGTAAAATTCATGCCTTCAGAACCAGAAACCATAAAAGCAGAATATGTTTCTCGGATGACTGGCAGTGCTCTGAACCAGTGTGATTCCAGAGTGTCAAATGGAAGAGTAGCAGGGGAGATGATGGTCTTGACTTCAGAGGACCCTTTAGGTGGAGGCGAGCTAACAGGGCGGCAGGGGCCAGAGGCAACTCTGAAAGAGGCAGAACCGGAATCCAACAGTGATGCTGAGGATGATAATTTATTTTTAACACAACACGATCCTCAAGATATGGATTTGTGTTCCCAAGTGGAGGGGGAGAAGGATATACTCTTGGAAGTGCTTCATGGAAAAGTTACAGTTCAGGTAGAAGGCTCTGTAAGTTGGCCTCAGTTGGCACAGAGTGGCACAAAGTGTAAGTATAAAGATTGTGCCGAAACCCTGAAAAGCCAGGGTGAATATTGTTCAAGACATTCAAAAGCCAAAGCAGCCGATGAAGATGTATTTCTTAAACCTGGCTTGCCTCCTGCAAGGAGACCTTCCACCACTAAAATTTTTAGCTCCAGTAGTACTTCCCGAATTGCTCATCTTTCCAAGTCTTTGGAAAGTTCTCCAGCACCTCCTTCCGCTCCAAAGAGTAAATCAGACGGGGTGCAGTCTGTTTTGAAAACGCCACAGCCCGCTTCCCTGGTGTCTGTGAAGCCAGTGGGTGAAGGGGACAATTCATACAGTGCTCTTCATTCTCAGACGCTGAACAGCTCCAACAGGCAAGGTTACAGACTTCCGCTTGCCGAAAACAGATCCTTCTCTGCTTCCGCTCCAGTGAGCGTTCTCTTACCACAGTCCATCTCTGACATCTTTCTTAAAGAAGTCTTGAAATGGAAGTACGAAATGTTTTTGAACTTCGATCATTGTGGAGCCCCAGCAAGTCTTTGCCACTCCATCTCAAGACCCGTGCCTGTGCGATTTCGAGATTGCACAGAGTATTTCGATGTGTTTTTACCCTTGATAATACTGAATACTTTCGAAACAGTAAGTATGCTTCGTTTGTTCACTTTCCAGGCTTTTCATGTTGCTCCTTTTCTTCCCTGTTGGATAATAATTGCAGAGGATGGCTAGAGTAACTGATCTATTTGATTTAAATGTTGCTTTTAAATTTTGTGTTAAACAGACATCTGTGGCAGCCGTTCTAGATGCTGGTGACCCAGTTTGACCTTTGCCCTCTGCAATTTCAGACCAGTTCTCAGGGTGCTGATGTACCCAGTCTGGAGGTAGCATAGGAAGGATGTCGAAGAGGAGATATGATAGTCTCCCATCTGCATTTTTTAAACGTAATATAGATAGGGCCGGGGATTTAGCTCAGTCGCACCATGCCTGCCTGGCAAGCGCAAGGTCCTGAGTTCGATCACCAGTACCAAAAAGACAAAAAGATAATAATACAGACAGTTACCTTGGTTTTCTTGAGGGGTAAATTTTTGAACAGCACAGTGAATTATAAACTTTATACGTCTGTCTTCCCTTTGTCTCTTACTCATGATAGCAGTTCTCTTTAACCATCTTTGAGCCTGACCTGTTGCCTTCTGGTTTTTCTCTCCTCTTTACTCGTGACTAGGGTTGCCAAGTAAAGTACAGAACTCCCTGTTTAATTTGAACCTCAGAGCCGGGTGTGGTAGCACATACCTGTAGTCCCCGCAGCTTGGGCGGCCAAGGCATAAGTGTCATTTGAGCCTTGAGTTTGAGGCCAACCTGGGCAACACAATGAGACCCTATCTTAAAAAGAAAAAAACAAACCTCAGACAACCAGAGAACACTTTAGTGTGAGCATTCACCTGTGTTTTGAAGGATAATTTTGGCATTTTCAAGGCATGTAAGGAGTTGAGAGTAAACTTTTCCCTGTTCAAATTCTATTAAAAAAAAAAAAAAGTATGTGGTAACATTCTGAAAAACAAAACCAAGATTATCGAGGAGGCAAATGTTTATGAAATCATTCATTTTTGCAGATATTTATTGCCCAGCACGTAACAAGTGGGCCCACAGGCTGGGTCGGGGTAAAGCAGTAAATAAGACTGAGGGGGGATGTGACCCCTCGGGTTGGGTTGCAGAAGGGGACAGGGCACCTGGGCCGACGATACACAGACTAGGAACAGAAGTCAGCTGTGGGAGGACATCGGAGGCAGAGAGGAGTTCAGAGACACTGGTAAGGAGGATGGGTGTGTTGGAAGAAAGGGAGTGATTGCACAGGAGCGCTCTCCTTACGAGAGAAGGTAACCAGGTGCTTTGCTCATTACACACCGGATGACATTTTATGTTCGAGTCGGTGCATCTTTAAAATGCACTGCATGTTGCATCTTTCTGGCTCCGTATCCCTGCATTTTAGCCGTTTAATAGAATCTAGTACGTGTTTCATGTACGTGGTACGTTTTATTAGCTAGTGTTTATTAAAGATAATTTTAGGAGGTTCTTGAAAGTTTTCCTCCTATTTTATAGCTCTTGTTTGCCCCCTTGAATTTTTCTCCTGTTCATTTTAGCGTCTAGTTCTTTCTTTGTGTTATTTTCTGTTTTTCAGATGGGCTGATTTCTGGTAGTCTACATATATTTAAGAGCAGGAGAGTAAAATGTAATTTGAACATGATTTATCGTACCCCAAAACAAAAACAAACCAAATGTTCATCAGCTTATAAGTGAATAAGCAAAATATGATATATCCACACGATGGAATATTATTTAACCATAAAGACTGAAGTTTTGATGTCCTTTGATAAGCTCTGAATGCTCTGTGTTAATGAAAGAAATCAGGCAGAGAAGGCCACGTGCTATATAATCCACCCCTGTCCAGAGTAGGCAGATCCTTAGAGACGAAAAGCAGGTGAATGGTGGTCAAGGAGTGGATGGAGGGGGAACTGAGACCAACTTGTAATAGGTACGGCTTTCTTTTAGAGTAATAGAATGTTCTAGAATGAAATAGCGGTAATGGTTGCATAACATAGTGAATAAACACTAAAAACTAGAAATGTACTAACATACTAAAAACAGAAAAGACAAGAAAGAAGAAATTAAGACTTTTAGAAATGAGTCTTGCGCCAGGCATGGTGGCACACGCCTGTAATCCCAGCACTTGCCAGCCGGAGGATCGCTGAGTTTGAGGCCAGTCTTGTGTCACCTCTGGGTATAGTGTGGAGGGCAGCAGGCAGGAAGGGACACCGACTTTGACTCTCGGTGCCCAGCCCTTCATTAGGGTTTACTTTGCCTAGTGTCAGGTTGGGATTAGTTCTGTGAAGGAAACAAAACAGGCTGCTGTGATCTGGGAAATGACCCTGGGAAGCTGATCTTGAAAACTGAAGAATTTTGTGCAACTTTGAGATGAACTTGTGTGTGAGTGTGAGGAAAAGATCGAGCTGGTATGGCTGGAGTGAAGTTGAGGGCAGGAGAGTGGTGTATTGAGACTGGAGAGACAGTCAAGAGCCAGGTAGTATTCGGCCTTACAGGTTGCACGTTGGGATTTCATTTTCTTTTCTTTTCTTTTTGCGGTATCTGGAGTCAAACTCAGCATCTTGCATCTTGCGCTTCCCAGGCAGGCGCGGTGCCACTGAGCTACTTCCCGGCCCATGGGATTTTATTTTTTTAGTACTGGGAATTGAACTCAGGACCTGGTGCTTGCGAGGCAGGTGGGATTTCTTTTGGTTTGTCGCAGTTTGGGAAGTTTTAGGTGGGAACACTAGTGCGTACCCGAGTACGGTTTCTGTGTCCTCCATTGTTGCTGTGGAAAAGGAACTGTAGGAAGGGAGCCTAGGTGCAGCAGACTGGCCAGAGGGCTGTTGGCAGCCCAGGAGGGAGAGGATAGCGGCTTGCTTTTGGGTGGTAGCTGTGGGCGAAGCAGAATGAACAAACATGGAGTGTAGACTTTGGAAAGTTGACTTGGTAGTGAAGTGGGTGTGGGAGAGGAGAAAGGGTGACTGTCAGGCATCTGGTGAGATCATGGTGCTGTTTACCCTTTCTGGAAGTGCCACTGCTGAGGCCCAGGGCGTGGCTGAGTCTGTCAGACTAAGGGGGTTAGGAGGAGCCCTGGGTGCCTTAGGACCTGGTGGATTCTCTGTGTGGGAAGGAAGAAGCAGACCAAACTAGAATTTCACAGATGGGAATTGGGGAGGAAAGGAATTTTTTTTTTTTTTTGCGTTATCCTTTTTTCCGTCTTTTCATTACTCTGGGGCCGGGACGCAGTTCGGATCTTACTTTGTGTGGCAGGCCAGAAAGCGGCACTGCACGCAGCTCCTCTGAGGCACATCTGCACCCTTTGGCTCTCGAGTGTCCACTGAGTCCTCTCACTCCCTCATGGCCCTGGGGCTGGACTATGACAGCAAGGGGTCAGGGTTTGGACAGGTGAGTCCCGGGTGCATGCAGAGGTTGTAATACCCAGGGGCATAGCCCCCTCCTGTCCCTCCTCCTCTCATCAGCGGAGGCACAAGTCCAGGCGGTGCTGGGGTGTTAGGCTGCCGTCCCCGGGTTCCTCTACAGCTCATTCCAGTTTAAATCCCCCTGTGCTGGGTGGTCTGAAAAAGGCAGGCAACAAACTGAACAGCATAGAACACATCGGCAAATTAGTGGCTTTCTGAGAGTGAGACTGGAACCATAAGCGTAGTAAACATTTCCAAAGAGGAGAGAACATCGGGAACTTGAAGCCAGAAGGAAAAGCATAAAGAACAGCAAACGGGAGATAGTGGAGACGGAAGAGGTGATCACTAACGTGAAGAACTCAGTAAACAGAACGAATGGTGCACAGGTGCAGCTGGGAAAAAGTGAGAATGCCAGACTGGCAGAGGAAACCAATCTGTGAGGTACAAAGAAAGGAGTGGAAGATAGAAAAAGCAACAGGGTGGCTAGAGGAGGCTTAATATATGTATTAGGGATGGTGGAAAAAGAAAAATAAACCGAGGTAATAAATTGAAACCCCAAGGGAAGCGATATTTGACTACATGATTAAGGGAGGTACAAAGTGTTCATATAGAGCTGCTCTACCCAGCTAAAAATATGAAGGAAGATGTGTATGATATGATGGTAACCAAAGCTACAGACCCCTTAGGTATTAACCTAAGAATAAAAACAACAGACACTGATAGCGAACATTTTAAGGGTGTATTTTAAGAGCTATAGTGGAGGGAGGATATTTAGTCTAATTCAAAGTGAAGAGAAGCCGGGCGTGGGGCGCACACCTGTCATCCCAGCACTCGGGAGGCTGAGGCAGGAGGATCGCTGTGAATTCCAGACCAGCCTGGGCTACATAGCGAGTTCCAGGTCAGTCTCAACTACATAGTGAGACCCTGTCTCAAAAAAACAAACAAACAAACAAACAAACAAAGTGAAAAGAGGTGCCATGTTCATGGATGGGAAAAACTCACACTGTAAAGATTAAGCAAAAATTTTATGTAGTTCAAGCTAAAATTCAAGCAGAAGTGTTTCGAGGAGTCTGATAAACTTTAAAATTTGTAAGGAAAAGAACAGCATCCTTGGGGTAGTAGACAAACTTGCCTTGTCTGATACGTAGGTGTTTCCGAGTCGTAGCAGGAGACACGAGAGTAGCCCCGCAAGACCACCCAGTGAAGCACAATGGGGGCTGGTGGCGGCTCCTGAGAATGAGCGCTGCATGTACGGCAGCCCCGTGTGGGCAAAACTGGACCCCGCGAATCAGCGGGGAAAGGGTGGCAAGGAGGCACGGAGAAAACGGGCCTTTGCCACTGGAAAAAATAGGCTAGATCTGCACTTTACACTCCGTATATTTTACTTAAACACCAACAGTGGCCCTCTTTTATCCATGGTTTCACGACTGTGGTCCAAAATTGTAAAGTGGGAATATCTAAGAAATCAGCGTTTTGGGAGTTTTAATTGTGGCCATTCTGAGTAGCACAAAGAAATCCAGCCCAGGATGTGAGCCATCCCTTTGTCCACCCTGTCCCCTCAGCGTGTGCCACCTGCCTGCACCACTGCCCAGTGTTGGCGTGCCTGTGTTCAGGGGCCTCAGTGTGCTTAAGAATCGCAAGGATGGTGATCCTGGGGATTTGGATAGGCCGGGAAGCTCGAGTGACTCCCAGGAAAGGTGGTTCTGGGGTGCATTTAGGGTTCAGCACTGTCTGTCAGCTGTTTCATCACCCACTGGGCATCTTGGGAGGTGTGAAACCCACAGGAAAGAGAGGGGATTACCAAATGTTTGAAAAGTGAAACTTGCTGCTAGTAGAAGATACTAGAAAACTCAGGTTAGAATTAAGCTGGTGGGGCCGGGATATAGCTCAGCAGCAAGGTGCCTTCCTGGCAAGCACAAGGCCCTGAGTTTAGTTCCCAGTACTAAAAAAAAAGGACAAAAAAAAAAAATTAATCTCATAATAAAAACCCAAGAAGCCTGAAGCACAACATGAGATGGTAATGGATTTATTGTATTCTGTCAAAGTTAAAGATTTTTCAGCTGGGCATACGGGCGCACGCCTGTAATCCCAGCACTTGGAGGCTAAGGCAGGAGGATCACTGTGAGCTCAAGCCCAGCCTGAACTAAATAGACCCTTTCTTTAAAAAATGGGAAAGTGTCAGGGATGTAGCTCAGTGGTTCCATCACCTGCCTTGCAAGTGCAAGGACCCAAGTTTGATTCTCAGTACAAAAAAAAAAGGAAGAAGAAAAGTTAAGATTTGCAAGATACTAATAACTAAGATACACAAAGAACTTCTGTAAATTGACAAAAAGTACAGAGAAGTCAGTGTATGGACACCAAATAGCCGGTTTGCAGGAGGGCAAACCTGAGTGGTGGTAAGTACGCGAAGTTACCCAACAGGGAGATGGGGACCGCAGGGGTGGTCCTCCGCGACCCCGTGTGACCTCACGGGGAGAGTGAGCACGCGGCCGTCCATGGGGATTTGTCTTAGGGTTTAGTTTATAGGGTTACCGAGTTGGAGCCAGCCAAGAGGGGAGGAGTAAAACGCAGTGTTTCCTTTTTAGGGAACGCGAACTATGCAGCAGGCAGTACCTGAAGACTTAAAAAATACGTTGATTGGGGGAAAAGCTGATTCATAGTACAGTACTGTTTTATATGAATCACATGCCCGTGGTGGTGGCTCTTTCAGAGGCACTAATAACAAGCACAGTGGCGCACCGGTGCCTAAGCTAGATGCAGTGGTGTTCAGGTGTACGGAAAGGTCCGATCAGAGGCCCTTGCCTGGACTGACGTGAGCAACTCTCCCTGAGATCTGAGGCAGAGGCTGTGTGGTTAATGGGAGGTTAGGATGGGCGTGTGTGTGCGTGTGTGTGTGTGTGTGTGTGTGTATGTACACGTGATAGGACGAGGCTGACCTAGGGAAATAAGGAGCTCTAGAAGTTTAAAGAGGAGATCCGGAACCATATCGGGGAGTTTGCTGGAGCATGATGAAGGGAGGGCAGGACACAGGTCGAATGCCAATTCCTTTGTCCCTTTGCTTTTGCTTTATACAAGGTAAGGACAACCTTGGTCGTTGTAAACTAAGCCAGTGCTGCAGGAATTCATCTGCCCTAGTGTAACAGCTATTGTTTTGCGATATTGAGAATTGAATCCAGGGTCTTGAATATGCTAGATATGTGCTCTACCACTGAGCTACATCCTCAGCCTTTCTTTCAGTTTTTTTCTTTCTGAGATAGGGCCCGACCAAATTGCCCTGGCTGAACTTGAGCTTGGATCCTCCTGGCTGCCTCCTGAACAGCTGGATTACAGGCATGTGCCACTGTGTGTGGCTACAGCTAGATTTTCAGTGTTATATTTTTTTATGAGAATTTTCTTGGTAATGACCATATCAGTATAACAAGTGCATGGGGTATTGTAAAATATTTTTATCAGAACCTAATAATAAAATAGTTGATCTGAAAAAGGTTAAATTATCAAGTTATCAGGGAATATTGTTTTGTAGAGTAATCCATTCTTCGTAGTTACTGGGAAAAAAGAAAATTCATGCTTCATTGGAAGATGAGGTTTCACTACATATTTTTTTTCCCAGAATGGGAAGAAAGGACACCTGGTACTACTTTTTTTAGTTACAGCATGGTTACAGCATTATCGCTCTCTTTTAATACTTGAAAAGCCACCAAATGAATGTCAATTTCAGGTCTTATATTCAAATATATCTGTCATATAATATTTTAGGTTATATACATATATTCTAAATGTTTTTCTATTCGGGGAACTTGTTTTGTAACTATCTGCTTGATTTTTCATCCTCTTCACCTAGTGGACGTCTCTAACCTTAATAGGATTAGTAGTAACTGATGTGGTCTGAGGGACCGCATCCACTTGTTCTAAGTGTTACTTAGTGTGAAAGAGGTTAGCTCCTGCCATTTATGAGTTTTTAATTTCCTAGACCCCAATGGGCTGAGAAACAAAACCATCGCACCAAGTGCACAGGCCGGTGAGTTAGTGTGTCGAGCGCGTTCATCAGGAGTTGTGGCAGCTCCAGAAGCGGAGCAGTCGTTGGTAGCCATTGCGGCTGCCCATAGAGACCTTCATCCCTGGCCTCGTCTCTGGCTATCTAGGATCATCTAGGCTGTCTCAGATGTCTGGTTCTCTAAGGTGACCTACCTTTTCCTTTTTACTCTTTGTGGTATGCAGCAAGATGCATTTGTGTAGTTTTGGGGGTTTTTAGTTTTGTTTGTTTGGCACGGGGATCGAACTCGGGACCTTGCACTTGCAAGGCAGGCGGCGGCACCACTGAGCTAAATCCCCAGCCCTGTGTAGTTTTATAGAGAAATACTGTGCCATAATATGCGCCCTTTGGAGGTGTACAGTAGACTTGTTTTTAGTAAACTTAAGAGTTGTGCAGCCATCCCCACTGTGCAGTTGTAGAAAATTTCCGCGGTGCTGAAGCAGTCTCTCCATTGCCATCACACCATTCCTGCCGCCAGCCTCAGGCGAATGCTAATCCCCTCGCTGTCTCTGATACAGATTTGCCTTTTTGAACATGCCCTATGTGTAGAACTGTCCAGTGTGTGGTCTCTCGCATCTGTCTCCTTTCAGTTACCATGATTCTGAGGGTTCATCTGTGTGGTAGCCTGTGTTGCTCTTTCGTGGCTTTTTGTTGTCCCCTGAGACTCTGCTGTGCACTCACTCAGGTGACCGTCCGGATGGACATGCCTCATTTGTTTGACGTTTCTAGGTTCTGGTGGTTGCGAATACTGCTGTGCTGTGAACATAGAATGTTCCCCAACCCCGGTGCACAAGTCTACTGGGGACTGAACCCAGAGCTTTCTCACTAAGCTACTTCCCTAGCCCTTTTTTATTCTTAATTCTGAGACAGGGTCTCGCTAAGTCACCTGAGCTGGGCTTGAACTTGCAGCCCTCCTGCCTCAGCCTCCCAGAGTGCTGGGATTACAGGCATGTGCCGCCATGCCCAGCCTAGAAGCGTTTCTTAAGGTAATCCTATCTCCCTTATACTGCAGTGTACTCTGGATGTGGAATTGAGTGATACAGACTGATCATAACTGTCGTGGATCAGAATCTGACCTTGTGAGCAGATCGTAGGAATGCAGTGTTTTCCTCCCACCTCCTGTCCATAGCATAACGTTTGTGGGAGTTTTGGTTCATTTTAGGGCAGAAGCAGCTTAATACCAGTAGTCTTTGGTAATCCATTAGAGGAGCTAAGGCCAATTATAGATTGAAATACTTAAATGGCTAAAATGTTATAGTCTGGTAAAGCCCTTCATAAGGCCTAAAATAACTTGTTTTAAATAAAAACTGAAGCATAAAGTGACTTGATTTATGCTGGACATGTCCTTTGTAAGGTTGGGGTTGGGAGTGTCCCTCGGGCTGCTCTGACCTGGGAACTGCGGCAGACATGGAGATGGGTGTGGAGACTTGCGGTGAGAAGGTGTGCAGGGACTCGAGCCTGTGGGCCTGTGAGGTGCTGTGGTTGGAAGGAGAGTTCTGCCTGCAGCCGGCAGTGCGGGGCAGTGCGGCTGGATAACGGGTGCAGTTCTTACTTAGTTTTAGAATTTTAATTAACCTCATTAAGCTAATGGCCACTGAATTAGAAAGGGCAGTTTTAGACTATTTTAGTAAACTGCCACAAATTATTTTTTGGATTGTCACATGGGATTCTATACTTCTTGGATTTTGCGGGGTGGGTACCAGGGATCACACTTAGGCCGTGGTGCCACTGAGCTAAATCCCCAGCCCTAGGTTCTTGGATTTTGCTGTTGCTTACTTTGGAAGTTTTACTGTTTAGCATGTCTCTCCAGAATGCTTTTGCTTTCTCAGTTTGCTTTTTTCCCTTCTACAGGTGGCTCAGGAATGGATCGGCTCTCCAAATAAAAAGAATTTCTATCAGTTGCATTTACGAAAATTTCCAACCGATTATAAAAAAACGTGGGAATTTGTAGGTAAGGTCTTTCTTCCACACAGCTCGGACTATATGGTAGAATAATTGGAGATTTCTGCTTAAGAGGAGACAGCATCAGTCATTGAATTTTCTAAGACATGATGATTTTGTTTTCGCGGTACTAGAGATTGAACGCCCCGGCCTTGCACATAGTAGGAGGCAAGTGCTCCGCACTCAGTCACTTTCCCAGACCTTGAGACATAGGTTTAAAAATATGCACCCTGTCTTTGTTGTTTTTTGTTTGTTTGTTGTTTGTTTTGAGACAGGGTCTCACTATGTAGTTGAGACTGACCTGGAACTCGCTATGTAGCCCAGGCTGGTCTCAAACTCACAGCGATCCTCCTGCCAGAAAGACCCTGTTTTAAAAGCAATATTTTAAAAGGGGCTGGGAATGGAGCTCAGTGCAGAAACCCTGGATTCATTCTACATTCAAAAGATAACAAAGCTGAAAACAAATCTCATAGGTAACTTTTACCTCTCCTGACAGCATCTCAGCTGCTGTTTCCACCTGTGTGACTTCCCTCCCCATCTACCCGGGCACCAGCCAGATGCTTTCATTCTCCACACTTTAATCTTTCCTTTCCCTAACATCGTTTTTAGTGACTCAGGAGCATTCTGGCAAATCCCACCTCTCACCACCTCTGGCGGAGGATCCCCAACATCCCCTGTCCCCACGTTTGATGATCCACTAGGAAGACTCGTGGGATCCAGCAGGTCCATACCGCTGCGGCTTACTGTCGTGAAAGACAGCAAAGTCAGCAGCAGGAAAAAATGCACTGGACGGAGGCGGATGCAGCCAGCCTCCCGGAACCCCTTCCTAGGGGAGGCGCAGAGTGCCCAGGTCTCCCGCTCTGTAGAGACTCGGTACCAAGGTGCTCTGTGCTGGCAGAAACCAGACCTCTGGGCTCTTGAGAGGTGTTTGGCAGCAACAGTTTGTTTTAAAGAAAAAGTTCTTTGTTTTATTATATACATTTTAAAATCAGTTTGAAAATTTCTATAAAAATGCTTCCTGCTGTTTGACAGGATTGCTTTAGAAGTAAAGATTTATTTGGGGAGAATGGCACTTCAAGTCTTTAAGTCTCACGTCTTTAATTCACATAGCTCTCATCATTTATTTAGGCTGTCTTTAGTTTTTTTTTAATTTCCTTTTTTTTTTTTTTGCGGTAGGAGGATCAAACTCCGGACCTTGCACTTGCAGGCAGGCGTGGTGCCACTGAGCTACATCCCGGCCCTTTTCTTTTTCTGCGTAGTGCTGGGGATTAAAGCAGGGCCTCCTGCTTGCTGGACAAGCACGCTGCCCCTGAGCTATGTCCCAGCCCTTTGTTACTCTGAGACAGGGTTCACTAAAGTGCCGCTGCTGGCCCTGAACTGTGTGACCCTCCTCCCCCACCTCCCAAGCATCTGGGACTATAGTTGTGGGTCACCACCTTGGCCAGCTTTGGTCCTCAGTGTGTTTCAACTTTTCAGGGTATAGCGCTTTCGCATACTCCCTGAAATCGTTCCCGTGCTTTTAATTTCGGGATCTGGTCTGCCTAGCCCCCGTTATTTAGGGTCTAGATCAGTGTGTTACTGGTGAGTCCAGCAGTTGGTGCGGAACTTCTCCGATCTAGTGCTCACTGCTTTCCAGGTCCTTTGGGGTTTACAGCTACCCTTTCCCCTTGTTTAAAATACCATCAGTACATTCAGTTCTTAATGTACGTGTATTTGTTTCCAAACTGCTCTGAACTTCTGTTTCTGAGTTTTCTCCTAGGATTCTGAAAGTGGGCAACAGTGAGAGAATCTGTTGGTTAAAAGCCAGAATAAACCTCAAGGAAATAAAATATATCAGCTACTTCTAAATATTATGATTTTACCTATTTTGGCTTTGTAGCCTATTTAAAGAAAAATTTTATAAAGTTTTGTAGTCAGTATTTTAAAATTTTTATTGGATTAAAGTGTATACAGTGTACTAGGGCTTGTGCTCTGGGACTTAGTACAAGGACTGAATTTCTTGTAGGCTGACCTTCCTTAAACTCACCGTTAGGGTTCTATAAATGCTGACTTCTTGTTCCGTAGTGTACCTGGAGGAGTGTGAACTGGCTAAACAGTTTCATCCGAAGGAAAATGATTTGGTGTTTTTGGTTCCTGAGAGACTAAGTGGAGAGAGAAATGATACCGAGAGAAATTGCATTCAGGATCTCTACGAGTATCACTGCGGTTACGTTCACAGGTTTCGCCGCACGTCAGTCAGTAAGTAGCTAACGAGACGTTGACAGAACTGGTCAGGTACGGGTGCCTCGGTTCGGTTGGGCTCACAGACAAGCGTTTGGCAGAATTTTGTTTTTGTTTTCGAACTCTGCATGGGGTGACAAACACAGATGTTGCCACCTTCTTCAGAGTCGTGGAACAATTTGGTTCCTGAGCTGAGGTACCGCTGCACAAGCTCCTTTCCTGTTTTCCTCTCAGTGGTGTTTCCCAGCAGGTATTTGCTAATGCCATTCAGGGTGCCTCTCTAGTTTTCCCAAACTTAACACTGTATTAATTTATGTATTCCACAGCTGTATGGTGTAAAAGCTTTCCTTAGTAATGTCCCTCCGTTTTCGCACATTCCTTCATCTGCTGTTGTGTTTATTCCTGCACAGACTATTTGAAAATCATGTTTGTTGTGCCTTTTTTTTTTCTTCCCAGGAATGGGGATTGAGCCCAGGGCCTTTGCATGGAGCTTATCTCCAGCCCTTTTTTATTTTTACTTTTTTTAATTTTGAGACTGGGTCTCACTAGGTTGCTAAGTTTCCCAAACATTACCAGGGACGGCAGAGAACTGTAAACTCGGCCTAATTTAATCTCTGGGTCTCCTGGTCCTCTTGTCCGTCTCGTCCCTGCTTTTCCTTTCGGCCCCACTAGCCCCTCCTCAAGTCTAGAGTAGCCCTTGCGCATCTTTTCCTGGGCGCCTGGTAGCTGGTGACTCCCCACCGGCAGCGCTCTGTGTGCCGTCACCAAGGCTCCCTGCCCTGCCTCTTGTCTCCGCTCACTGTGGTCCCGCAGGAAGGCCTTCCCTGGCCAGCCCGCTTACCGCCGCGTCCCCTCTCTCGCCTTCCTTTATAGCTCTCTCCCCTTCGTGTTTACCTGGTGTCCGCCTCCCTCCTCTAGAAAATATTAGGCAGTGGAGGACAAGAACATTGCCTGGCTCTTAGGAAGCATTCAGTAAAAACTTATTGGGTGATTTATTTAAATAACATACCACACAAAATACCCAATTCTGAATAACCTTAACTGACAACATTATCCAGTGGTATCTGAAGTTATTTTTTCTCCTTCTTGATAATAGTGCGTAATGGAAAATCTGAGTGCACCCTTTCCATTCAGACTCAAGATGATTTGTCAGCCAATTTAAATGAGCTTATGAAGTGTATTATAATCAGTTCTTTGGTGACTACGCAAAGGAAGTTGAAAGCCATGTCTCTATTGAGTGGCCGGAACCAGCTGGCCAGAGCTATTCTGAATCCAAACCCCATGGATTTCTGTACCAAAGATTTACTAACCACAACATCTGAGAGAATTGTGAGTACTGGCTGTGTAATACCTGGGGAAGTCAGAAAACTGTATGTCAGATGTTAAAGTGTCATATTCACAGCTGCCACGTTTGCCATAATGCTGACAACCACGCGTTCATCGCGCAGTGTAGAAGTGTATTCAGATTGTGTCTGTCTGTCTGTCTGTCTATCTATTTATTTACTTATTTTGAGACAGGGTCTCACTGTGTAGTTCAGGCTGGCCTTGAATGCCCTTTGTAGCCCAGGCTGGCCTCAGACTTGTGTCAGTCCTCCTGCCTCAGCCTCCTGAGTGCTGGGATTACAGATGGGAGCCATCGTGCCTGGCCTGGAATTAGATCTTAATTTTCTTTAATATTGAAACCTCTGTGCTGAAGTTGGTCAGTTTACCTCAAGGAAATGTACAGAACGAAAAAGAGCTGAATGGGGCCAGAGATGTGGCCCAGTGGTGCTGAGTTCGGTACGGCGGGGGCCTGAGGACACGTTGGTGTGGTGGGGATGCCATTAAGATTGGGTCAGTGTTGCCAGGTGGTGGGAACTCGGGAGTGGGAATCTCGGGTTTTGTGAGTTAGTTTTGCATCTGAGCGACTGTTGTGGAAATGACTGGTGCTGCTGCAGATGCGAAGACGGAGCTGTCATCTTGTGTGAACTTGTGTTTTACACTGAGAGCTGTGTATGAATTCCAGGAAGTGGACAGAGAAGTACAAATGGAGACCGGAAGTTTTGAGCCCTTCCTGTGCTACAGAGCTTTTGTTTTGCATTATCTGTCAGATCTTAGCTTTTAAGGAATCACAAATTTAATAAATGACAGAAGTTGAGACTCAGATTAGAGGTTTAGTGACATAGCTTAAAAGTAAAATTGACTGAAAACCGTGGTTTTCCACATAGCAAATCCTGTTGGGAAAGACCTATGGAATATTTTTACTGTCTAAACAGAAAATTTATTAAATGGAAAAAAACCCACACAGGATAATTGAAAAAAAGTATAGATTAGTAAGTGAAATTTATTGTGATCATCTTTTTAAGAATTATAAAAATATAGTCGTAGTATTTGTAAGTGGGCTGAAGACTTATAGACACTAGTTAGTAACTAAATAGTTTTCTTCCTTTCTTTCTTTGTTTAGTTTTTGTGTGTGTGTGTTTTGAGACAGTATCTCACTATGTCGTGCAGTCTGGTCTTGAACTCACTTTGTAGCTGAGGCTGGCCTCAAACTCATAGTGATCCTCCTGCCTCAGCCTCCAGACACTAAGTAGATTTCTTTCCAGTAATGAAAATGGTTCTTACAGGTCACTTTGAGGTCTTGCCTGGGTATAACCTAAGTTTTTGTGCAGCACATGTTGGATGAAATTCAAACAGATGATTTTCATTGTCTTTCATTGTCATGACCCATAAAACAGCTCATTCTCACAAATGTCTTTTTATATAGATAGCCTACTTAAAAGATTTCAATGAAGAGCAGAAAAAGGCAGTAGAGACTGCATACGCCATGGTGAAACACTCGCCGTCAGTTGCCAAAATCTGCCTGATTCATGGACCACCTGGAACAGGAAAATCAAAAACTATCGTTGGTCTCCTCTTCCGCTTACTGATGGAGGTCGGTGTCCCAGCTCCTTCATTTTACTCTTCTTGGCTGGCCTGCGGTTATTAAAGTGCCTTTTCTTTTCATGGTTTACAATTATCAGGGAAAGGAGTAGTGCAGAGAAAGAAGTGTGTGGGAAGTGGGAGGGCCAGAAGACGCCGTCTTGCAGGGAGCAGGACCCCAGGGCTAGGAAGCAGTAGTCACCACTGTGCAGGAAGTCTCCTCGAGCGCATCCCTGGGCTGGTGCTGGTGAAAGGAAGTAGCATAGGTGGCAAAGGGAGGCTCAGAGCCTGGGAGATGAAATGCCATGCAGAGTAACATTAGTGTCAGTGTAAGATGGAGAGGCTTTAGTGTTTATTTTTAACTGTATTATGGGAACTTTCTGACATACATAGAAGTAGAGAAAAAACCTTTAACTGAAACTGTGTAGTAGAGCTCATGAGTATTGTTGTTGTGTTTTTATTTGGCATGCGGCATTGGTAGAACCAGAGAGGGGGGCACTTGGATGAAAACTCCAATGCCAAGATCAAACAGAACCGCGTCCTGGTGTGTGCTCCTTCCAATGCAGCTGTTGATGAACTTATGAAAAAAATAATCATCGAATTCAAAGAAAAATGTAAAGACAAGAAGAATCCTTTAGGTATGGTACTAGTAGTAGTAGGGTCTTAAATTTGTGTTCGTTTTCAATGTTAAATAAGTGTTGCGCACTTTGAATGATGAGAAATCGGTCTTTGCTTGGGGCTATGGCCCTGATGTACCTGTTGAAGGGTATAGTGGGCTTTTTATTGTGCATTTGTCCTGCACCAGGCACTGTGCCAAACACAGGCTTCTGCAGTGACGCCTTCCGCGTGACAGAGTGTTGGGAAAATGGATGAGTTAGCGGACAGTTGTGGAATAGAGTTACAACTGTGACGGTGCTAAACCAGGGGTATTTTCGGATGCCTCAGAGAGAGGACCCATGATGGAGTCTAGGGAGGGCCTTGGGAGGAAGTGATTCCCAAGAGCAGTTAGGAGGTAGCCGTGTGACAGGAGGAAGGACACGCAGGCCCGAGTGGGCAGGGAGAGCCTCAGTGTGGCGGACTCTAGTCACGTCCTTGAAGGCAGGCTGTGTGATGTGGTCACCGCGGTTCCCCCAGTCACCCCAGGCCTGAGCACCCTTGAGGCGCAGATGCCTCCTGACTAAAAAGCCTAGTGCAGTGGAGGCTGATGAAAGATGAGGTTTACATCAGGCATTGGCTTAGTGAATGCAGTACAGATAATCCCGGTTCATGGTTATCGCCCGCTTATTGTGTGTGGATAAACCTCAGACTGACCCTGTGTGGGTGTTAGATGGCCTCACTGGCCATATTGGAGTAGGGAGGCTGAAGCACAGAGATGTTAGACAGCAGGAGCAACTATGTTCACGCGGTGTGGTGAGTACTACCGGGGTGCTCCAGGGACCGAGCAAAGATGCGGAATCATGTCTAGTTTGAGTACTGAAGTTACACAGGCTTTAAAAAATGAGGACTAGGGATATTCAATCCCCACTACCACCAAAAAAAAAAAAAAAAAATTATTTTCCCCTTTGGAATGTTCTGTTTAAGACAGGTTGCCTGTTGTTAGTATTGTTTTTATTTTGTATTTTGACAGCATGAGTAAGTTTTTATGTTGTGTGATATGTCTCTTCGAGTTTTGTTTTGAAAATTTTTGCTAATTTTTTGAGAAAATTTTTGACTTTCACTTAGGGTTTCATGTATTTTGGGGATGAAGTTGTTCATTGTGTTCTCATTTTTTAAAAATATTAACAGTAGTTGTGGTTGGATCCCCTTGTCATGCTTTGTATTACTTGTTTATTTCCTGAATCCACCTGCGGCACAGACCTGTGCTTGGAAAGTCTTAGAGGAAGTTGATTTTTTTCTGCAGCAGCAAAGCCAAGATAGATATTCTTCCTTTTTATTCCTCCACCTCTTCTGTGTCCCTTTGCTTTCTTTTGGGCATTGAAATCCATGCTCCTGTTATAGGAACATCTGTATTTTTATTATAATGATAGTTTCGCCAGTTGAGATATTTGTCAGTTTCATAGAATGAAAGGTATCTCCCCCCACACACACGCCAGGGTTGGAACTCAGGACCCTGAGCTTGCAGGGCAGGTGCAGCACCACCGAGCTAAATCTGAGCCCCTAGAATGAAAGATTTTAACACTCTAGAAAGTGGAAATAAGGACTGAAATGTGTAATGGATGTGGGGGAGTGGACGTGGGAAGGGGAGCCGGGGGGTGGGGAGTAATGTGAGGGACAAGAAAATAGAAGGAAAACATGGAAACAGAGCTTTTGTACATAGGGAGAGGAGGGGGCTTGAAGGGGGAATGGGATAAAATAAAATTTATTTTTAAGGAAAAGATGTTAAACTCTCTTCTACTGAATGCACTTTATGCCTCAGGAAGTGCTAGCTTAGAGTAAAAGAGACACCGCAGCGGCCCTATGCACGCCCGGCTCCCTCTGGGCGGCTGCAGCAGCTCCAGCGTTTGCGGGCCTGGGCCTCAGCTTCACAGGCTCACCTGCCATGGGGCGGGGTCTGTTCTGACTTAGGGGGACGTGGGTGAGCCTCCAGGTAATCTCCACCCCTCAGCGGAGAACTCTGATTTTGAAACCCCCAAGTAAATGATGGCCAGGAAATAGGGCCTCGCGTTTAGGAGAATAAGTTGAACGACGAGATCAGAGCTGATGGTGTAGCTAACTGTGAATAAGGTGTTCGTTCCGCACGTACGCCCTGGACACAGCTGCCGGCCACTGTTCCGGTCTCTGTGGGAACCGGTATTCAGCGGAGGGAGACAGAGTCGAGAGCAGACAAACAGGGATGCGCCGGGCTGGGTGGGTGCGCGCCCAGGTGCTGGGCCCCTCTGCGTGATTGTCGGAGCTCAGTGGGAAGTTTGTAGATTAATAAAAATGTCATAACGTGAGATGATAACGTGCAACCAGCAGGCTGAATGTTGAGGGTTTTTGGAGTTTTCATCATGTTGTGTCTTAAATTCTGGAGTAGCAGTGTAATGAATGCGGAGCATGGTTTCAAAATTGTGTCCTGTGTATCTGCTCGAAAAGATTTGCTGGTCAAATAAAGAGTTGATTTAGAAATCCAAATGCATACTAACATACGGAAACCCTGAGATACAGTATTTTGTGGGTAAGAAAAATGCTGTATTGTAACTAACCATTTTCCAAGTCTGTTTTGGTGGTGAAGTGTTGCCCAGGACATGATTTGAATCGTATTAGTATGGTAGGGTGTCAGCTCTGGAGTGTTTATTTGACCTTGCCTGGCTTGTACTAGGTGGAAGGACAAGCCCCTGCCCTGAGTGTTTGTTAATGCAGAAGAAGGCTTTAGTGCTGTCCCTATAGTGTCTAGTCAAAGTAACTCCCTTCTCTGTGTGTTACTTTGTCTGTTTAGAAATAGTGTGTGGGGTGACGGGATTTATGGCCATGTCCTTAAGCATGACTTTTATCAACAGGAAACTGTGGAGATATAAATTTGGTACGACTGGGTCCAGAAAAATCTATTAACAATGAGGTCCTAAGATTCAGTTTGGACAGCCAAGTGAACCACAGAATGAGTAAGTAATGAAACTGGTCCGTACCTAGTGTGTTTTGTGTGTATGTTGGGGTGTTAATCTTGTTTCTTAGAGACTGAAGATTAAACCCAGGGTCTTCACACTGAGCCCTGTACCCCTAGCCATTTATTGATTGATTGATTGATTGATTGCAGTACTGGGAATCAAACTCAGGACCTAGCACTTGCTAGGCAGGCACAGTGCCACTGAACTACATCCCCAGCCTATTTTAATTTTAATATTTTAGTTTTGGTTTTAATTTCAATTCCAATTTTAATTTTAATTTGAGGCAGAGTCCTTGCTAAGTTGCCCAGGGTGGGTTCAAACTTGCAGTCGTCCTACCTCCACCTTACCGAGTGCCGAGACGACACGTGTGTGCTGCCACATCTGGCTCTCACTAGGGTTTCTTTTTTCTATTTGCTTTTCTGTACCAAAAAAAAACCTTGGGCACTAAAGGTCATTTGGAAATCCTAGAGGTACTCTAGCTTTGAGAACTAGTTTTCCTTCTCATGGTGTTTGCTAGAATTAGTGCGTAATTCTTTATTTTCATTTTCATTTTTATTAGAAAAAGACTTACCTTCTCATGTTCAGGAGATGCACAGAAGAAAGGAATTTCTAGATCACCAGCTGGATGAGCTTTCCCGTCAACGAGCTTTATGCCGAGGTGGACGAGAGATACAGGTCTCTAAACATTTCTTAGCTCTGAATCTTTCAGTAGCTCCTTATTAGTGCATAAATAGTTGATGAATATTTGATATTATTCGTTTATTGGGGAATGGCAGGACTCAGAGATGAAAATGTATACCGAATGGTCTGCCCCACATCAGTGTGTTAACAGGCTTTTTGTAAAGGTCAAGAAAATAAGTACTGGGGGCTCTGTTTGCCGTACAGTCTGTGTTGTGGCTATTCAGTCCTGTCACAGTTCAAAAGCTGCCATGAGTCACATATAATCAAATGCACAAGTCTGTGTTTCAATAAAGCTTTATTTAGAAAAGCAAATTGTGTTGAATTTGGCCTACAGACCAAAGTATATTAAAGCTATACTGAATTTATACAAGTTAAAGAAGCCCAGTTTAGATTTGGTTAAATGAGAAGGAACTTCACTGGCTTGTATTTCTCAGCCTCAGTAGAGCTAGATCCAGAGACCAGATGATATTATTTCTCCATCGCCCAATTTGTCTTCTGTGGAAGACAAGTGCTAGCATTTCTGGGCTCCACCATCCCAGCTCAGAAACCCCGCAGACGGTGTCTCTCTCAGCGGTGCACCAGTTAAGGATGCAGTCTAATTAGTGCCCTGGGCAGGCAGGTGGGTCTAGGACCTGCCTGGAAGGGAGTGGACTCCCCAACTTGCCAGCCTGTACTGTGGCCTCCCCTTTAGCTGGAGGAATGCTCGGGTGTGATCGGCAGCCTCGTTTGAACCACCTGGGAGCCAGGAGAGGGAGGACCTCTGAGGGTTGGAGGGCTCAGCAGACAGGACCTGTACTGTGTGCAGTGCTCGGACAGAGCTGCGTGTGGAACAGCAGCGCCAAAAGGGCATCAGGGCCGCAGGGGTCGGAGAAGACGGGCTGGGGTAGTTGGCTCAGCATTGGCCAGCTACCGTTGGGCTCTTGAAGTGTAAAGCAGTACACTACAAAACATCATAACTTACTTACCTTAGTTTGAATAATAGCATTCCAATGTTTTCCAGAGGCAAGAATTAGATGAAGAAATCGCTGAAGTTTCCAAAGAAAGGCAGGAACTTGCTTCTAAAATTAAAGAGGTAGGTAGTTCATCCGTAACATTATTTTGGCTTTTATTTCTTAATATATGAAGTAGTTATATAATCTCTGGGCTTTTTCTGTCCTAGACATTTGCACTACTGTAGCCTAATCCCTCCTTGTGTCCTTTTGTTACTGTGCTCTGTACTGCTGGGGAGTGTCCTTAGTTTCCTTATCAGTTGCTACAGAAGGTCATTTTATATCCCTATGGCTATTGCCAAGGCTACAAAGGAGAAAAGCTATATTTGTATGCAGCACTAACCCTGTGACTGCTAATGTGTGTTTCTGCTTGCTGTGCCTTGTTATGGCTGCTGTTTTTGTGCTAATAAAGTATGTTTGGTATTCTCCTTTTTTAAAAAAAACAACACCTGTGGGCTTTTGTTCAGTTATGTTTTCTAAAATGTTTATTATGAAAAAATGGAAATGCCTGCTGAGGTGGAAAGTAGTATAACTACGTTTACTTTCTACGAACCTAAGAATGAGTTCTTATCATGATCTTTGATTCTAAGGAAAAGGTGATTCTAAAGTTTGTTTTCCTTTTATATAGGCCTTGTGAGTTTGAAAAATGTCTCCTAATTTGCTCTGCCTTTCTTTCCCACTCACTGCGCAAAACTCTGTCCGATGACTTGTTGGCAGAACCAGGCTGTAGGTATTCTCCCTATCAAAAGGAAAGCAGGCCAGTGGGGGAGTTTGGGAAGCAGCCGTGGGCCCTCCAGTGCTCCAGTCTAGGTGGCAAGGAGAGGGCCGGTACAGGGCTGGGCATAAGAAAGGACAGCAGCCTCGGGCAGGGAGGGAGCGCAGAGGAGGGGGACTGAACTCGGGATGCTCAGCCCCTTCACTTTATTTTGTTTTGAGACACTCTTGCTAAGTTGCCCAGGCTGGCCTCAGACTTTGGATCCTTCTGCCTCAGCCTCCCAAGTAGCTGGGATGACAGGCGTGCGCCACTATACACAGCTCAGAGGCGTCGTTTTCCCCAAAATACTTTCGCTCTCTGGTGGGTTGGCTTGGCAGCTGTGACATCCACAGATGCAGAGCGGACTGCAGTACTCCGTACAAATGCCACGTAAGAGCTGGGCCAGTGGAAGCTGGGCTGAGCCAGGTCTGTCCGGATCATCAGCCTGAAGTCCTAATGGAGTCAGATGGGTCCAAGGGTAGAGAAGTAGCAGTTGATGATGCTTAAGGAGTTTTGAGCTGAGAGATGGTGATATTTAAAGCACATTTTCATTCAGTTTATTTGCATTAAACATCATGTGAATACTTTTTATTAGAATTTTTAAACTGAGCCCAAAATTAATCTCCCCAAATTTAGGGACAAAGTCTATTGTTCACAGGTGTTGTTCTGTGCTGCTCATCATGTGTTTTGTGCATCTTAAATCCATCACACTTGGCTCCCTCATGAGGCAAGCGGAGAAGAGGGGGCCCCACCACGCGCTGGATGCCCATGCTGCCGCCTCTTGCCATAGCTACCACGCACGGGAGAGCCCCTGGTTGACGTGACACGGATGTAACGGTTTAGCGCTGCTGCTTCTCAGTGGCGGAAACTACTTAGGCATACTCAATCTCTGACCAGTCCCAGTTTGTTAATCTGAGTACTGAGTGAAGTTTAGTGTATGCATTGTAAAGTATGCACTGGTTTCATCTTAGTGTCTTGCATTATAGAAGTGGACCACACTTGTTTTTCATCTGTGGAAATAAGATATTTTTCGGGTACACAGGAAAGTGTGTGTGTGTGTGTGTGTGTGTGTGTGTGTGTGTGTGTGTGTGTGTGTGTGTGTGAAATAGGGTCTCACTCTGTGCTGTGTGTGTGTGTGTGTGTGTGTGTGTGTGTGTGTGAAATAGGGTCTCACTCTGTGCTGACCGGGAACTCATGGCAATCCTCCTGCCTCAGGCTTGCAAGTGCTGGGATTACAGGTGTGTACCGCCATGCCCAGCTACACAGGAATTTTTATTGGTATTAGTTTTCATAAAACAAAGAACAGTATCACATTATATATGTGTACATTCAAGTTTAGCTCTGTGCATGGTCTCACTCAAATGATTGCTTCACTTTGGTACAATTATTTAATCTCTGCTTACTCATACTTGTCTGTACACATCTGCCCATGAGAAGGATTGCTATCTACTTTGACCACATCCGACACTGAATAAATTTTTAAAGTAGTATGCTTACATTGCGTGCTAAGCTTAGACTATACAGTACTGTGGTCTTTATGATAGCTGCTGATAACCTGCAATGTTTTTGTCTTTTGGATGTGCTGTTTTCGCCTCACTGTTACTTAATTTCTTTCTTTTCTTATCTTTTTTTTTTTTTTTTTTTT